AGCACATTATTCAACTTGAGTTAAAAAATTTATTTTTATTTTTTGAATTTTATGAAAGTTTCAGCAAGAGTTTTGTATTTTAAGCTCTCTGCTTTCAGGAAATTTAACTCCCGTGCCAGCAGCAGTGCAATGCGGCAATCTTGTACTCGAATAAAACTTGTAAGTTGTATTACAAAGAGTTTTACACGCTGAAATTTATTGTATGCAAGCGCGGTCATCACCGACGTCTTAGGCGTCGTAAAGTTGCCCGCCGGCGCTGTGCAAATATTTGTTTTGTGCCCAACTTTAAAGCACAACTTGTAAAAGTGTGTAAGAGATTACATTTATACAAAGTGATTGAAAGTCTTCTTTAGCGTCGAGGAGTGATGATTTATTAACTTTACTGTCACGAGACAGACAGCAATGACATAAAGATTGAAATTAATCCAGAACAACACATAATTTATCATCATTGTAAACAAATATTCTTACATTCTTAAAAGAAACAAATAAAAATTTTGATTTTGGAAGTTTCGATGATTTTTTGCTCGTTTTTTCAATATTTTTCAGTTTTTGAAAAAAAACGCAAATTTTTGTTTTTAATAAAACTAGAATATCTCCGAAAATATTAAATGTACATCAATGGCAAATATACCAAATCAAAGAGAATTTAATTCCGCATATTTTATACCAAATGGAATTTACAATTTTGTATTATTTTGCTAACAATAAGCAAAAAAAGTAACAAGTTCCAAGTGTCGCTAGTACTTTTCTACTTGTTTTTTCAATAATTTTGAAAAAACGCAATTTTTTTAATAAAATAAGAATATCTCCGTAAATATTAAATGTACATCAATGGAAAATATATGAAATCAAAGAGAATTTAATTCTCTATATTTTATACGTAGTGGAATTTAAAATTTTCTATTATTTTGCAAACAAAAAGCATAAAACTAACAATTTTCAAGTGTCGTTACAAATGTCTCAAAACGCGCGTTAAACGGAATTTTACTAAACGCAGATGAGCAAAAATTAAAGTCTAAATAATTAACCATAGTTCCACATAAAGTTTTGTGCCGGACAAACAGTTTTGGAAGTATAATACTGCATAATTCACAATGACTGCACGCAAAATAGCCACCGGCCCAAAAGTTACATCAAAATGAAAACTAATATCAAAGAGAATAAAGCAATTACCACATTTGAACTCGAAAATATATACTACTCCACTTGAAAATCCCCAAAACGGAAAAAAAATCAAAAATTTTATAGTTAAATCTGCACGAATGCAAACCGGACATGTTTTTTCGATCAAAAATCGCTGCTCAACTTTAACCAACAAACAAATTTCATTTATTGTTTCAGAGTAACACGCACGTCGCGTACTATTTTTTTGCGTCGCTGGTGTTGTCTGTGTATGCATGGTTTTTTTATTCGTATGAACAAGTGCGGTAATTTGAGCAACAAACGAAATTACACGGCCACTCGTTCGCGGCGATTTCCATCCGCATTCGGACAGAGTGTGTAACATTACTTCGCTTCATAAAATATGAGAGCAGAGCGGATGCAAAATAAATAGGCGCTGCGGATCGATACGCCGCTCGATTTTATTGTCGAAAAAACCTTTAGGTTTAAATCCTAAAGCCCGGTGAATTATTAAAGTCTTTTTCCCAATGGGCTCGCAATTCGCAATCGGAATTTACGACTCGACCGCAGATTTACATAGAAATTTCACGTGAATAAAGATTAAATATAGTATATTATGTATCACGTGCGTAAAAGGGAGTTTTTCTCACGAGTTTAATGAATCGAGTGTTTAACAACGTTTAGCCACGTAATGTTTACGCTATTTTCTCTACTTCCACTTTATTTCTACGTTAAAATTTTTGTATTTGAACTTTTTATTTTAAATTTTCGAAATTCGCTCACGCATTACTAGAAAATGTGCAGACGTAAGCTCCACCCCGTGACTAAAACCCGTGACTAAAGTATTTTAGTCACGACTTTGGCAGTCAGTGTTTAAAGTACACTTTTTATGTCTCAAAACCATAGAAAAACTGGCGTAGAAAAAAAAAACTAAATTTAATAGTGTGGAGTGTATTATAAGTTGACAAATGCGTTCGCAAAATTGATTTCATTAACCGAACAAGCTTTTGCAATCTGAATTTATGTGTCGTAATAAAAACGTGTATCGGCGACATGAATAACAAGCAATGTGTCAAGACTCTCTAAGGTCTATTGACTTTGCACATAAATGCGCATTACAACAATTTGTGAACATGCGTTTGCTCTTACACCAAATCCACGTGCGTACGAATAAAATATTTCATAATCCCCAAGTGAATAATCTCAAAAAACACGTTAATGTAAAAAAAAAAACAAAAAAATATTTATTTATTTATTCCTGTAGAAATGTCAAATAGAATTTTATTAGATTTGCTTGAGACTTGTGACGAAATGAAGACATCATTCAGTAAAAGAGCAAATAAAGCAACGGAGAGAGGTGAAACGCACGCACAGGAAAATCCTGAATTCACTCATCCTCCCTCGGTGTGTATGTTTGCGCGCAACTTTAATAAACGTCGACGTCGCGCCTGGAAGACTTAGAGGCCTAAAAGACTAGCGCCGTTGCACAACCTGACATTCTACTCAATAATTAAATTTACTCATCATGCCATGGCATCATGATGTCGTGCCATTCACGACGAATTATCCAACCTATACACTGTAAGTCTCAGTCTTGCAATGACGCCGCGAAGCAATTTTCTTGCTCGCGAAATGAACAAATGCATAAATAATGATTATATTTAATTCAGGCAAACGATGAACTCGACTGTCGCGTACTTCTTACCCCATTCAAGCGACGCTGTCAGCCATCTTTGACTCCTTCAACTTTTTTTCTCCGCTTTTAAATGTTTTTTTCACAGCAATTTGCAAACGCGCGCGTTAATGAAAGTAATTATTAAAACTTGATGAAACAACGCGTTCGTGGAAGTAATTAAACTTGGTGTTAATTAAAAACGTCACAAACACAATCGATACGCACGCAATTGATGAATTCGTATTTTCATTTACAATATTTACAAATAAAACGCGATAATGTGTGCAGTAAAGTGAAATTTATGAGTTTTATCGTCGGCATTTCGCAATTTCTTAGTGGGAAAGACAAGCCGGCGACAGGGACATGTCCTGGAAAATGCGTTTCCTTCGTCGCCGGCGCTGCAATTACCGAAAGCCTCACTAACCGCAAAGTGACGTATACAAAGTGACGTCGGTCTATTTTAACGCCCTTGCATTATACGAAATTAACTCGTAATGTGCGAAATTAAGTGTCCCACAGCTCGCTGCGACGAATTTTCGAGGACGTGGGACACGAAATTGCAAACCGCGACACGTCCCAGCCATTAATTGGCATCAGCGCTCTTTAAAAATACAATTAAACATATATTTAGTTGGGAGCGAGTTTCAAAGTGTTTCTAGTGACATCTAAACGTAGATTATAGTAATAATAAACGTAGAAAAGAGAATATTAAGTAACAAGTGGCTAAAAGGGAGTTTTAGTCACGAGTGTAGCAAGCGTTTAATCAATCGAGTGTTTAACAACGTTTAACAATGTTTTTGCCATACTATGAGCAAATATGTAAGCGAAAGCTCCCCCTCCATGACTAAAGCCCGTGACTAAAGTACTTTAGTCACAAGCGTGTATAAAATATCACTTTTTGTGTCTCAAAACCGTGAAAAACCGACGTTTTAATGATGAAAACAGAAAAAATAAATAAAAACGTCACTGATGCCGCGGGTAAAAAGCTATTAGAGTATATTTTACAAAATTTAATGCACTTAATATAATAAATTTTATTAAAAACATATTAATTCAAATAAATGCAACTCAAAATAAATAAACTAGTTTCAATGGTCGTTTGTCCCGTAAATGTAAAATGTTTATCAACGTCAAAAACAAACACAACTTGACCAAAGTCAACTCAAGTATACTATTTCTACACACTCGAGATATGAGAAACTGTAGTGTGATATTAGCGTTAGTTGTGACCTCGTTAAAGGTGAGGAGTACTCTTCAAGATATACAACTCACACTTACACTAGAAATAATATTTTCTGCACCAATTTATACCAAGAAATATTAAAAATAAAACTAAACGCATTCAAGTAATACATTTGCAAATGCACTCGGTTGAAATGTCTTCACATCTGCATAGTACAATCTAGAAATGTAACGAATGGCGTCCTGGGAGCACTCCACTCACAAGTGTTCGAATAATATATAACAATAACAATTGCATCTGCAAAGTTGCTACTGCACGCCGGGTCTGTATTAAATTTTGAGTTTATTTCCACCAGAACTTGTTGAACGTTATATCTAGAGTTTATGCTACGAAGACAACCAGCAGCAGCGAGAAAAAGTAAAGAAGTTCATTTGTATGCTTATTAAATTTATTTTTATTTTCTAGCGAGAATCTTTTCAAAAATAAATCTTCTTTATGGTTTATCGACTTGTTAAAAGTACCCTAATGCGTGATTATAACGGCATGGCATTAAAACACAAATTTATATCTTAAACACTTCCGCTTGTGATGTAAAAGACAGAGAGAAGGTAAGAAACACTTTTCCTGTTTTTCGCCGCCGGCGGGTGGAAAAGCAGCCATAATTCAAGAACGCGCATTTGCAACCGTGGCTTATTCTCCTACCAACGAATGAAGAAAGAAAGAAAAAAAAGACGCCAAAACCGTTTCTGTTTCCGTTTCGGGAGAAAGATATTTTTTTATTTTTTATTTTGTTGCGTAATGTTTGCGCCGCTTTAAGTTTACATTTTCGTTCAAAGCAAAGGTCGCAATAAAGAAAATGTTTCATCTTCGAGTGACAACCGCGACAAAGTTAGTCTTACGAAATTTTCAACTCCAAAACCGAATGAAATCTTAGTAGCTCATTTCCGCATATTACGATCGTCATAAATCTTCATATAATAATATAATCCATTAACAAATAAACTTTATACGACTTACTTGCGAGGCTCGTCGAGATGAACACTTACTCGTGATCCCCCATTCGAAACTGTCTTTGAACCGCATCATTGCGGCATCACAATAACCGTTAAAATAATGTAATTTTAATTTTAATTAAAGCCGTTACGCGTCACGCTCAACCCGATCGCGAAACTCAACTGAACTGAAAGAAAAAGAATAAACTATAAAACGCAACATAAACGTGAAATACGCCGAGTAAAACCGGTGTGATACCTTATCTTATCTTCGCGCAGCGCACGAAACAAAAACGTAAACAAACCTCGCATCGCACAAGAATGCGCAGAGTGTAAAAGGTAAATATTCATTTTATTCCGCATCGCAGCGCCATCTATTTACTAAAAATTGTACTAAATCTATACTTGTTCTCCATACTCGATGATTTTTTTGATAACATACTCCATGTCTTCTGGAGTGGTTTGCGGATGACATGTGATTACAAACCGGAAGAAATTACCGTGGTTCTTCACTGGTTGGTAGCCAATCATCAATGTGCCTTCACGCACCATTTTTTCTTTGATTTTAGGCGCGATTTTATACAAATCTGACCACCATGAATCAGTTTCAGCCTGATTACGCATTTTGGTTGGTATGTACCAGAAACAGATGCATGCCGTTTCAATTTCGGGGATTACAAGACGAAAACCAGGCGTGGATTTGATTTTTTCATAAAAATATCTAAAATTTTAGGCAAAAATTAAAATTAAAATTAAAAATTAAAAAAATGTTTTTTATGTGTTACCGAGCACTTTCTATGACATTATCTATATAAGATGAAAAACCATCATCTCCACGTGCTTTCCACATGACCCAGAGTTTAAACGCGTCGACTTTTCGACCGCATTGAATACTTTTGTCGCCTGTGTCATAACGCACGTCGTAATGTTTGTCTTGTTGGAATAAATAACTAGCAGCAGCTGAGTTACACTCATGCATTAAATTCTAAAAGCGTAGAGATTATACAACGTGAGAGTAATTTCATACTAGTATTCATTTCTTACTTTATGACGTGTGAGGAATAATGAGCATTGTAACGGTGCTCCCAGCATTTTATGCGGGTTCCAAGCAATGCTATCGCTCCTTTAATTATGAAAATGTTTAATTTTTTAGGCGTATTTCTTTGTTTTATGTTTTACTTACAATTCAACACCGGATAATTTTTGCCGGTGTGTTTTTGATAGTATGAGTGTCCCACCAAAACATCCCTACAATTTATTTGTTAATATTTTTATCAAAATAAAATAAAAATTGATATTTTTAATTACATCAACATGCATCCATATATTATACTTCTTACAAATACCAGAGATTTCATTTAGGGGATCAATGGCGCCCAAAACAGTGGTACCAACTGTTGCATTCACAAATAACGGTACTTTACCACTTTTTATACACTTTTCCACTGATAATTCCAATTCTTCTGGTATCATTCTACCCAAATCATCAGATTTTACTTTGATGAGGTTATCAATACCGAAACCCAACCAGTGCATACCTTTTTGAATGGAATAATGCGCCTTAAATGCTTAAAAATTAATTTTTGCATATTTTTAGGGGAAAAAAACTAACCTGATCGGAAGTAAAACATACTAATGGCGGTAAACCGCATAAACCTTGACTTTTTACCTCCGGATACTTTTGGAATCTAGACATTACCATTCCATACATGTTTGATAGACTTCCGCCTGGCGTAAAAATACCATCGCCATCTTTATACCCGAAAATGTTTAATGCGTGTTGAATGACATAACTTTCACAAAGGGTAAACGCAGGCGCTACTTCGAAAGTATGTTGGTTTGTGTTTAAAGCTTCTGAAATCCACGTAGCTCCCAATCCGTATAAATCCACACCGCCATATAATTGATTTCTAAAATGTGTGTGTCTTGTTTTGACGCTATGACGGATAACATCCCGGCATAGATTTAATAATTCCTCAGTGGATTTAACTGTTTTATTCAAATCTAAATCGATTTTTTCTAAAATTTAAATTTTTTCGGATTATTTCTAATATTTTTGTTTGATTTTTTAATTCTCACCTTAAGTTCTTCAGGATCTACATAATTAGTCACAGATTGACTGTTGGTATCAACAATAACGCACTCTTCTTCAAGAAGTTTATAGATTGATTTCAGAAAGTGTAACTCTTTGTCTTCAGACATGTTTGCCGCTTTGGTAGGTGATGTTGCCCGAACGGTTCGAGCGCGAATGAGCGCCGGCGACCCGGTTTGTGGGCCTATGAAAGCCGATATTGTGTACTCAGTACTTACATACTCGTAATGAACGGTTAATTGATCATTCATACGAACATGCACAAGCCATAAACGGAATAGTTCAATAACAATTCCATGTATGATAAATTAATTGCGTTTAAAATGCGTTAAGTCCGTTAAAGCGCTGAAAATTTCCATTGTAAACTAAATCTTTGAAAACAACTTTTGTTGCAACAAAAATTATTGTTGTTTGAAACGCCGAGCACTTAAAATCGTCTACCTGTGCACAATTTGAGTGGCTCGTAATTGTAATTGTAATTGAACTTTAATTCATGTAATTATTTAATTTTTGGAAATAAAATATTTATAGATTTTAATAAAGTTTGTTTTATTAATGTTCTGATGCAATAATGCGTTAAATTTATTTGATTATATTTTGTATGCGGATGTGTTCTATTAGAGCAAATTGTAGTTCATGATCTTTTGCATGATCAGCGATAATAATATAATGTTTAAACGAACAAATGCGTAAATCCAGTTGTAACGAGATAACAGCGACATTTACTTAGCAGCTGTGCGTAATTATAATTTAAGTACCGATTATAAAATCCAAAAGTTTGAAGAGATTAACTTTGAAGCTTGGTCCAAAATACTTAAAAAACCATGCTTGTTATTTTTTAACAAGTAGTAACAATAACACAACAATGCGCGAATATTTTTCGTTAAAACGTGCATCTTAACGCCACCTTTTGACGCTTTAGAAAGTAGCAGCGGAGTCCTCCGCGAAACTAGTTCCGCCGCAAAAATCAAGTTTTTCTATGAGGCAGTGAGCCATGCATATGAGTCAGTGAATTTATTAGCACTCAAACGCAAAGTCATCCGTATCGGTGTTGGCGCGCCAACTTCACACGTACTGGTGCGGACAATTTGCACAACACAGCATAAATGAATAGCATTTTAGCTGTACTTTGAGAAATTCACGTATAGATGCTGCTACCATGTACTTTTTCAGATATATTTAAACCAGATTAAACAAACTGTGATAGTAAATGTATAGAAAAGTGCGAATTTTCTAGAATATGTGAAATTAGTGTGAAAATTTGTTAAAAATGTTAGGTTATGACCGGTCAAATTTCCGCATCGCAAATTTGTGATTACTCATTATTTGAACAAGCGCACATGATAAATTATATATCAAAATCTAGAGAATTAATTTGTTTATAAATATATACAACTCACAAATTGATATTGTTGTTTTTTCTTAACAAAAACTCGAATTCGAACAGGACACAAAACGGCTGTTGCACAAAACGACGCTTTAGTGGTCAGCAACCCACCATACACGCAAAAACTTTCAATTGCATATATACCTACTACAAAAATTTTATTTAATCAATGAAAACAAATACAAACACCATTTTATTTGCCATAAAAGATAATTTATTCTATTTGCAATGTACATGTGCGATAGATAAATTTAGTCCGTCCTCGAGTGTTATTGCATTCATTCACGAAGGTTAATATAATAAGCAAGTTTCCTTCAGCATGTCTCGTCACACTCAGTCGCCTTGCATAAACGCATCGCTTTCTATCCGACAACCACATCGCTAATGATGTAAGATGTTGGATGTAACCGTTGTAACCGACGTAACCGTCACCACACCGAGCCGAAACTCCCAACTCTCAATTCTCAACGAAACGAAACATTTAATTTACTTGTTGCTTTCCGCTGCGCGCTGCACAATAAACGCTATTTGTATACCATCCACACGTATCAATAAATTAATAATAATAACATTTGATATTTCTGTGTGTGTGTGTGATTATTGTTATAGAGTTTACTCCAACGGCGTAAACAAATAAACAAATTCAGTTTTCTGATTGTAACACGAACAATAATCACAACCTAACCTCGCAATTCATCATCTGGTGCTTGTCATTTGTTATCGTTTTTGTTTAAACAATCTATCGAGTGATATTCACGGCGCTGGGTGGTATTATATTGTGATAATTATAGATAATTACTTAATTGCCAACGGCGGATATTATATTCAACGAAAGTGAAACATTCGTGCTGGGCGTTAATTAGTTCATGCAATTTGCGGTGATGGTGATGAATGCGTAGTAAAGTTAACATTGGTTGGATTATTCATCGATGAATAATATGAGGATACCAACACGGCGAGCTCCTACGGTCGAGGAAGCTCGTCGATCTCAAAAGTAAGTTTTGTGAAAAAAAGTTTTTAATCAGTTTTTTGTTAATTACTCGTAAACGCAATAAGTTAGAATCAAATTTCTTTCAAACGTTGGTTCAGAATTAAATTCTGCATATAATAGTGAAGAAATTATTCTTTTATATTTGTTCAATAAAAAGTTATCACGCTTTTTGTGTTTCAGCAATAAAAATCAAAAGAAAGTGCCGCCTCCACGTCCGCCACCACCAAATTTCGGCCTGGCAAAGAGTAAATCAGCATGGAGTATAACTCAGCCTGATAATACAGCCTCCCTGATAGAATGGAGTCCGCCAAACTCGCCGAAACCAGCTTATTCGCACAAACAGTTCAACGGCAGCGTTTCGAGTTCATTCAGCAGCAGTACAAGCAGCCTAGCTTCCAGTAAAAAGAGCTACGAGTTTGAAAACGCTAGTGATTGGCTTCAGGTGTCAAATAGTGCTTTTTACGCTAAAGTACAAGCACCACCGGTGCCTCGAAACGCGAATAATAATCTTGGAAGCACAAAAATCGGTCCTGGACCAACAATAATTCGGCCTGCACCGCCGAAAAAGAAAGCTTTAAGGCCTACATCATCTGCTTGCACATCCAGAGAAGTATCTCCATTACCCGGGTATTTTCAACCTGGAGGATTATCAACTCCAACTTCCAGTGTGACTGGTTTGAATCTACATCAAAATTTGTTTGATAATTCACCACCTATGCCTAATATACCTCCACCAAGTCCACCAAAAGATGTTAAAGATGTTGTTGTGCCCTTTGGCATCGCTTTATATGACTACAACAGTGGACAAAGTGGAGATTTACAATTTTCGGTAAAAAAATTAATTTTTTTTACGATTTTTCTTATAAATATGTTGAATTTTTACAGATAAACGATGTTATTTACTTAACACGTAAAATAAATGACGAATGGTTGATGGGCCGCACAATAGACGACCGTGAAGGAATGTTTCCGAGTAATTTCATTGATATACAAGTGCCCCTCGATGAAAATTCAAAAGTTCGAGCGTTGTATGATTTCGAAACAAACATCGCGGGTGATTTGCGCTTTAAAACCGGCGATAGCATCACAGTATGCAGGGTTATCGATGCCAGTTGGCTAGAGGGCGAGTGTAATGGCAAACGTGGCCAGTTTCCAGCAAATTTCGTCGATAGAATACCGAGTAATTTAAAATAACGCACATAAGTAGATTTTGGTACTTATGAATCATTTTCTTTTGTATAAATTGTAAATTGAAATGATATCATGTGAAAACTGTGATCGATATTTATGAACTTGCAAGATAATCTTACATATTTAAAGTGCCTTAGAGAAGAACCGTCCGGTTTACACAAATTGATGAATGTGATAAATGTTACGCTAACTTTTATTGTACACTTACTCTGCGCAACCGAAATTCCAAAACGTTAACGAGATTAAATAAACTTAATACTATAACATAAGATTACGTCTTTTATCGATCGATAAATAATTACACTCCGTTTGGCTACAACTCCCATCCGCGAAACATAATAATATTCGAGTAATATGTAAACAATTAAACTTTTTATCAACTTTTGTTAAGGTTAAAGCTGTCGTCATTAATCTACACGCTTTGTAATGTACCACACGTAATATAATTTTTTGAAATTGTTGGGAAATGTAAATTCCAGCGATATGCAAACGGTTTTCTGAAATTATTTAACATAATAATGAATAATTGACTCGGAAATGTTATTTTGTGTGGAATTTACAGCAAACTGCAACATTTGTGACATTTTCCAACATTTTTAGATAGTATTTCATGAAAAACTTGCAAGTTTTATCAAAATATCCGCAACATAACCAAACTTTTCACAAAATCAAGCTTAAAAGTCACTTATCTGTAATAATTCGCCAATAATTTTGGTGTTTGCTTGCATTTGCTTATCTAATCCCTGCTGAGTGATAAAATTCCCCCCTACTAACTGGTACCGTTACAATTTCAGCGTGTTCACTTAATGAATATTAGATAAAACGTTAATCGCTATAGAATTTGATAATAATATCACATTTACTTTATGTACAAATTCATCTTCATCATGCTTAAATTGAAAATTAAGTTTAAATTAAGCTGGGTATAGTTAATGTACACAATTATTCGATTCCGTGATTCGTTAAAGACCTACCACTCTTGGCACAACAAACAATCATCGCCGCCCCCACGCGTTAAATATGTACATTTTCATCTGAGTTTCTGCTCTGTTAACAAAACAAGAATAATTACTATGTATGGTTGGACGAGCAGGCGAACATCACCGCGTAATTCGCATATTGTTATAAATAATTAAATAAAGTTAATAGTAGGTGTGTTAGGTGTATAGTTACTGACTGCATTGCACTGCCAGAATGCTAGTCGGGCCTGTAAATTGGTATTTTGGGCAAAAACTCAATCAGTATCACATATTCCATCATCGAGGACGAATCACAATGCTGTTTGGATAAACGCCAATGCAGACCAAGCTTGTGATACAAATAACTGTTCTCCCATTCCAGTAATTTGTTTAATGAATGCTGTGTCTAGAAAATATTTGATTTTGTGTAAAAATGTAAAAAAACAAAATGTCTGACTGTATTACCCTTTTGCTAAGGCAGATAACTGGCCATAAGGAGCACCCAAGTGTACAGCAACAGCATAAACATCCACAGAACAACCATTTTACATTCACAGGTAAAGTCTTCTTGAGTACACTGTTGATTCTCAGCACAGTTTCTTTAAACTCTTCTGGTGCTACTCTGGACACCAAACCACTGGGAAATTCCACACAGAACCTATTACTCAATCCAAATCTAAAAGAATATGGTGTTTAGTAATTTGTATTGACGAGTTATTTAATAATTAAATGCTTACACAGTCATGTTCCCAGCTCCTCGAATGATAACTGGATCTGGCACCAGTGTGACTTCAGCATGCTCAACATCTTCAGCTGAGTTTTCTTCCTCATTCTCGTAGTAGATCGCATCGAAGCCTTCCATTAGAGATTAGCATACACTGGACGATAGCATCTAGTCTAGATTATTGTTTGATTGTGGTGTTTGCTGGTAGATTCTTAAATTCTTAAATAATAAATGTATTTGTTCATTGGACTGATACAACTTGACGGACCATTGTGTTTGTGTTGTCGTCAGGGGGCGCCACGTGACGGCGCAAAATGGAAAATATTTTTAAATTATCATATTCACATGTATAATTAAATAATAAATAGTTGTACTATAATTATTTACAATGAAATGAATAGTTTATAATGTTATATATTAAATATATTGTATTTTTAGTTTAAAACACATCAAATAATCGGTAAACTTCGATTTGATTCGTACTTATGTTGTGTTGTCATGAACTTAACCCAAAAACTTTCACTAAATGAATTCTTTGTAATAATGTCTAATAACTTACCTCCACCACCAAAAGGTAAATAATTACATGTTAAAATAAGTTAATTTAGACTTATTTTATTCTTTTAACAGCCTCAGGGCCGCCAATATTACCTCCTGGAGCCGGTGGTCCTTTACCTCCAAATGTAACACCTGGCTGGAATGATCCACCAAATTTATCAGCAATTAGCAGTCCAGGACAATCAGGACCGAAACGTCTTCTTAACAAAAGAGTACCCTTTCCAATGAGTCCCAATCCAAATCCTCAAAACAATCCTGATCCAATTGATTCCAATATTAATGATTCAACTCTGACTGAAATCACTAACAACTTTTTTCTTGCAATTCACCACCTGCCAAATAATACTGCATTAAAGAAAGATATGGAAAGGTTTACTACTAACTGGAAGGATATATCAAACAATCAAGAAGTAAAGGATATGTTACTGCAGGCTTCTCATGCTGTGAAGAATCAGGATATTGTGCAATGTGAGAATATTCATAAAAATCTCTCACAAATTCCAGCTGCTGGGTGGTTCACATTATTTTTACATAGTATTATTATGTCTTTACCTAATAAAATGTAAATTTATACTTGTAAATGCTTTTAACTATATAATATTAATAAAACATGCGAAAATAAAACGCGTTGCCTTTGTGGTTTCAAAAGTCTAGGTGTATACTTGGCTGCCTAACACGCATATAGTTACAAAAGTTGCGCATAGAGTGTACTAGCGTGTCTAAAACTAAAATAAAATAAGAATAATTTATTATTCAGTTTTTAGATTTGGGTTAATGCACAATAGACTTTGGAAATGTTGGCGCAGTGGCTTTAATATTAGTTGTACCGCGCATATTGCTTTTAATGCATGAATAATTAACGAGATTTTAAGGACTGCGCGGTTAATAAGTTGCAAAGTGAAGAGCGGGAGAAATTCAGGGTTCGGAGTCAGTGCTCTTATAGAATATTTAATTACAAACCATTATCAAAAGGCTCTCCTAGTTGGATTTACTTGTATAAATGTTTTATTGATTGATGAATCATTTTTCTAGTTTAATTCATCCACCCGCATTGTTCGAGCGCATAAATTAATATCAATTCAAGTGGTTTTTATTGTTTTATTAAATTCTTCTTTAAAAAAAACATAGAAAAAATAACAGAAAGTATCTTTACGTAATGATTACTGACTGCTGAGGTTTAAGAAAGTTTACCAAGTTTTTCTCCGGCGTTGTGCGGATGGTGACAATACAAATTGTCAAATGTCAACACATAAGAAGTCTTTTCATCGCGCACAATTTATCGGAATTGAAAAAGTGTGTATTTTTAAAGAGCTCGCTGGGGAATACAACGACTGCCTTCGTTGACGCGCGGCGCAGCAATGCTCACACCCTTCAACGTTTTTTTTTTTATTCCAGTTTCCTCCGGCCAGATTATGCGAATCGAATAAATTTACGCACCGTGAAGCGCCAATAAAAAATTCTAATATCGCGCACGATTTAAGTTATATTTGCATAAATATTTTAACATATATTGAGTACTTCCTCTAAAAAAATTTATTTTTGTTACCTGAAAACGGTTTAAATGCATTTTCAATATTTTTTCGTTGTATTATGCAACATTTTGAATGAATTTATGATTTGTGCACTGAAATGTATACATTCTGATAAGCTAACACGCAAATCGTGAACAAATATAGAAATATGTTCGTTGTGTGGTTTTTTAAGTGAACACAAGAGTGTTATCTGCATAACGACTGAAAGAACAGTCGCAGCTCCGAAAAGGGGCGCAAAACTGACGCACTGAACCAAAAACATTCAGCGACATTAGCTGACGACAAAAAGAAAACACACCTACGGCAATAATAGATGTTTTAAATGTTAAATGTCCTAGAAATACTCACGGCACTCGTATCTTGTTGATGTAAATAATGTTTTAAGCGAACTAAATTTAAATCTATTGTGTTTTGAGGAGCGCGCGGAGGAAAAATCAAAACAGACAAAAATGAAAAGTGTCAATCAGTATCTATGCTAGCGTATTGTGTTGGCGACGGTGACGGCGACGGCCCCGGCGAGGGAGGCCAAAAGGTTACTGCGATAAAAAGTTCATTTCCGCTTTGAATTTTTTTTTTCGAGCGCAATGCACAGACGTCAGCACGTGTTGTGCGTCGAAAACGAACAATGCGATGTGTCTACGTCAATGTTGTTGTTTATCTTTACCAATCACAGCCATCACAAACGAATAAATTGTTAAAATTGATTTATTTTGTAAGAAAAACGTTGAAATTTTTAAATTTTTTGCGCGGTTTGACAACGCTGTCAAAATTTTTACCGCGCGAAACAAATTAAACAGGTTATTGAGCTTTCAAAGCACACAGAGATTATATTTTAGTGTAAATCAAGTGTATTAATTGATAATCAGGTGAAATAATGTGTAAGTTCATTGTTTTAATATATATTTTTATGTTGCAGGCAAAACTATTCGTTTAAATGCGAAAAAAAGCTCAAAACGCTCAACGGACGGAATTTATGGACAAAGTTGAATCTCTAAAACAACTAGCACATCAAAAAGCACCGCAAGCTAACCGGAAGAACTGCGTTTTAAGAAAAAACCAAGGGGAGTTGTTTTTCTGCCGCATATTCTAATTTTCGGCGACAACCGCTGCACGAAAATATAATTTGAGTTTCATGGTTCGCTTAGCGTGAAAATAAACTGTGCGAACTCGGCAGAAACGCACCGATTTTCTGCCCGACACACAACTTTCCCGATTCCAGATTCACCTGGTTTGTCACGGACGTTAAAAGCTAAACGGTATCCATTCAATTTTTATTAATGATCGCTTCGAGTGCGGACAAATCGCTATTGAAAACCCGAAACACGCATTTCTATACTGCATCGTCATGTGGGATCATTAGGCGCACAAAGAGTTGGAATCATTTATAAAATTAGAGCAAATATTGTCACAATTGTCGGACAAATGATGTAAGTATTTGTTAGGTGCGTTGTGTTGCCCCGACTGCAATTAGACGCTTTAAATCGGTATCTGTTGTGGAATTTCAAGCTGCAGTTTGTGAGGAGATTAGAATCGGTGGCGTCGGAATGAGCGTCGGGTTTTATTTGTGTCGCCACGGCATTCGTCGCATGTTCGCGGTCGCCTGCGAGACGCTTTTATTAGTGTCAATTAAAGGTCAATTTCATTTCGAATGTTTAAGCAAAGCAGCGCCACGAGTGCAATTAGCCAAGCGTCGAAATCGTTGCGTTTTGATTCGTTATCGAATGTTTTTCGATCATTATAGAAATATTTACATCACAGACGGATAAAAACAGATATAACTTTTGTAATAATAAGTGTTGAGTAATACTTGATGTTTTTATCTTTAAAAAATGATTAAAAGTGGTTAGAAACTTGAAAAAATGAGTAAAATAATCGCAAATTTGGTAAATATTTCAATTTTTATTCAAAAGAACGATGAAAGATGAATTAAAATGGAAATATTTACATCATAGAAGGTTAAAAACAGTTTTAACTTTAATAATAATAGCTGTGGAGTAAGATTTAATGTTATTTTTCTTTAAAAAATGTTAAAAATTGTCTGGAAACATGAAAAAACGAGTAAAATTGTCGCTAATTTGGTAAATATTTCCATTTTTATACAAAAAACGATGAAAAGTGAATCAAAATGGAATTATTTACATCACAGATGATTAAAAACAGTTGTAACTTTAATATTAATAGCTGTAAAGTGAGATTTAATGTTTTTTCTTTAAAAAATGTTAAAAATTGCCTTGAAACATGAAAAAACGAGTAAAATTGTCGCAAATTTGGTAAATATTTCAATTTTTAGACAAAAAACGATGAAAAGTGAATCAAAATGGAAATATTTACCTCACAGATGATTAAAAACAGTTATAACTTTGATAATAATAACTTTAGAGAAAGATTTAATGTTTTTTTCTTTAAAAAATGTTTAAAATTGCTTGAAAACATGAAAAAACGAGTAATATTATCGTCAATTTGGTAAATTTTTCAATTTTCATACAAAAACGATGAAAAGTGAATCAAATTAGAAATATTTACATCACAGATGATTAAAACGAGTTATAACTTTAATAATAATAGTTGTAGAGTGAGATTTAATGTTTTTTTCTTTAAAAAATGTTAAAAATTGTGTAGAAACATGAAAAAACGAGTAAAATTGTCGCAAATTTGGTAAATATTTCAATTTTTATACAAAAAACGATGAAAAGTGAATCAAAATGTAAATATTTACATCACAGATGAATAAAAACACGTAAAACTTTAATAATAATAGCTGTAGAGTAAGATTTAACGTTTTTTTTCTTTGAAAAATGTTAAAAATTGCCTTGAAACATGAAAAAACGAGTAAAATTATCGTCAATTTGATAAATATCTCAATTTTTACCTTAAAAAAAGAAGAAAGCAGGTTTTGTGTTGGTGAAATATCGAAAAAAGTGATTTATACTATTCATTCCAGATATTTGCATTTTACCTAATATATAACAACCTACCAAGGGTAGATCTCCATGTGTGTGTGTGTTCCTGAAAGAAAGTTGGAAGGCGGTAGCCGACCGTAATATTAATCACGATCCGAAGCCTTTTGATCCGCTCTTTTTGCTCTCTTTTCGCTCGTCTTAACCCAAAACTTCTTCCGCAGTGGCGCGCGCTCGGGGGCGGGGGTGGGCGATGTCGCCCGCCGACGTCTCTTGACTTTCTCCGCAATTCTTAGACAAAAGATCGTTGCCATGACGATGCGGCTGACCCGCGCGCGATTGGTCACTGAAAAGTGTCAATAGCAGCCGCCCCCAAGCCTCCTCTCGCACATAGACCATCTGCCAGCGCATGAAAAAAGGTAAAAAATCCATAACAGGTCTTTGCGTGTAAATATTTTAGTTGTGAGCGGTTTTAATCAGTCGGGAAGATGCTGGCGGTGCAGATTATGATTGTCCGTGGTATCCGGTGGGTCCCAGGTGCGAGTGGGAGTAATCCTAATGATTAGCACTTAGGAAGTCGGCCGCATCTGCGGTGTCGAGCGCGGGCGCACTTTTAAGTGCAAAGTTTGCGTAAATAATTAACACATTGCTGCTTGTAATTATCGTAAAATATTCGAGATTAATTAAGGTGTGGGGAATAAATGCATGAATGTGGAGGGGTAAACAACCAACAAGTACAAAAGTCGCTAAATTTAAATAAATGATCGCTGAAAGTAAAAAAATTGCTAAATTTAGTTGAAATATTGAAAAATTAACATCAAATCAGATTCTAGAGACTTGGGACCTGTGCAATCGCTTGCAACCCGCAAAAAGTGGTGGGGGTACGCTGGAGTCACGTAACATGGTGTATCACCTGCGGATATTTCTGAAAATGCATTTGCTAAGTGCCAATGGGTCCCTACGTACAAATTAATCTTTATTTTTATGTTTTTCACGTTTTTTATTACTTTTTCCTCGAAAAACCGGTCAAAAACCAAAAAATACAAATTTCTACGTCAAGAAATCTAAATATCTAATTCTGTATCAAGCCACAGCGCCATAAATTTAATCGCAAGTCAATAAATCAGTCTAGAAAAAATGACAAAAGTCTAGCACGCGATTTATTCGAATTTCTCTCAGGTCACCACAGTAAAAATAACCTAGTGCAATTTCAAGGTCGTCACTAAGTGCAGTTCGTAACACCCGCAAGTGCACACAAATTGTGTTGATCAAAGAACAACCTGAAAACAATAAAACCCAACGGAAAAACATGAAAAAAACGATGAAAGAAACGTAGACACGTTTATAAATACAGACAATTTATTTACTATTTACTTTGTATGTACAAATATACTCGTATTACATTTTATCCAATTCTTACAGTATGTATACACGCCGTCAATATATTTAGACTTGAATTTCCAATGGATTCGAACAAAATCGACACTCAATTCGATGCGTATTTATCTTTTGCGTTTTGGCACTGTTTATTGAATACACAGAAAGAAAACAATTACTTATTGTTAAGTGATTTGTTGTGGAAATTTAAGTAATTGTGCCTTAAGCACACAAATTAAAAAAAAAAACTAAAATCGTCAATTTCAGTTGCAAATTTAAGTTTTTTGATGTTTTACGCATCAGTTTCACTTCGATCAACGGCGAAAACTATATAACAAGATAACAACAACAATTTCTTTTCGTTAAAGACTATTCCAACAAAATATAGAACACTGGCAACTACGTTTCTTTATAATTTACGTTTAATTTGTGATGTTTGTGTGTGTGTGTGATGGCAAACAAAATGGCTATGTACATTTTCTTTTTTAATAAGAAAAAACAAAATGTGTTGGCACACCAAACTAATCGTAGTACGGAAAAATGCAATATTATTGATTTGAAAATCTGTGCAACGTGCAGTCCACTCTATGTACATAATATTTACACAGTACTCTCTTTTAAAAACGTTTCATTAAATAAATTAAGGGAGCGGCTTATAAAATAAACTTTGATTTTGGTTTCCATTCGATCTAACTTATCATCATCTTTGCACTTGGTTATAAAATAAAATTAATCTCTATCAACTAAAATTTATATAAAAAAAGGAACACGTAGTTTAGTTTTCAAGGAGAGATTAAATATTTCTCAAATTTCATTCACGTTCATATTGATATGTTATAATTTATTTAATTTTTTGAATAATGACCGATTTCTTGATATTTCTATTTGAATATACTTCCGATTCATTTATTTGTGAGTGTGTGGAAGAAATGGCAATGATAACAAAATAACAAAACAATAAAATAAAATAAAAATCAAACAAAAGGAATTGACTAGGTCGCCTAGTACAGTTTCATGTATCACATGTACGGCCAGGAGAAGGAGCTGCCCGAGAGGAGCATGTCGCGGATGAGCGTCTCGATGGGTGTTTTGCCCACGAGCCGCACGAAGAAGAGCTGCTCGATGACCGCCGAGCTGACGGTGCGTAGACTCGGGAGTCGCAGCAGGAGCTTGCCGAAGCGTGTTGGTTGATTCGGGTACTGCGAGCGGCAGTATTCCTCCAGTGCGCACTGCGACTTCTCCTGGATGGACTCAATGTGTGCCACGTCGCTTAAACCACAAGCATCTGGAACATAACCATGAAAACACATAGAAATTACTTTTAGGTGTTATAGAAGTGAGGTTAAGGTAGATCCCTTTAGAAATTGGTAAATTTTTTGAAGGGGTTTTGTAGGTTATGATGAGTTTGATGAATGGTGAAAGTTTGATTAAAATCGGTTGGAAAACAAAGGAGATATAAGCAGTTGAAGATTTAGGGTTGATGTGGGGTTTTAAGGGAGATAAGATCCTATCAAAATTTTGTAAATATAATTAGGTTACGTTATAATATTAGTAGTTTGGGAGACATGGTGAAAATTTGATCAAATTTGGTTGGATAACAACGGAGATATTAACATTTAAAGATCTAGAGTTGATGTAGGGTGTCTAGGGAGGTAAGATCCCATCAAAATTTTGTAAATATAAGAAGGTAATGTTATAATATTAGTAATTTGGGAGCCGTGGTGAAAATTTGATCAAATTTGGATGAATAACGACGGAGATATAAGCTTTCAAAGATCAGCAGATGATGTAGAGTTTCTAGGGAGCTAAGATCCCACTATAATTTTGTAAATATAAAAAGGTTATGTTATAATATTACTAATTTGGGAGCTATGGCGAAAATTTGATCAAATTCAAACAATAAAAACAGAAATAAACTGTTGAAATGTAAAATTTGTGACTTAAAACTTCTGCCGTACCACAGAAACATGTTTTATTAATTATAGTCGAAGATTTGCGTGGCGACAGATTTGCGAAATGCGAATTAGCACAAAAGAAACACCCCCTGCGCGCAAAACGAGTGGAAACTTTGCAGCTTCTTTACTTTTACTACCTTCTTCTCGCCGCGCGACTATTTCATATTATCATTTTAATCGCATTCACCCTTTAATACAGTAATACACCATCCCCAACATGCCGCACGCCTTAATTAATAAAAGCAATGCAGGCAGCGCGCTCCGAACATTTCAACTTTGTTCGACGACGCGCGGATTTATATTTTATAAGATGCGAGGCGACGAGAAAAGACGAGATATGCCTGATGTGGAATGGAAGTGGGATTCGGAGACAATGCGTTTTATGATTGCGGCACGACGACGCAACCGATGACGATAATTGTTCTCGAAAGCAGCTGGCGTTTTTAAACGATTCAAATGATCGAGCCGCGATGCCGCGCTTAATAGACAAACATCACTAATTAGAAGCGGGCACAAGTGCTGTGAAGGCATCGGTTGAATTACGAGCAACACTTGTGGTTAATTGTTGCACAAGCACGAAAAAATCATCTTTCAAGGCATAAAAGCAAAATACAAAATTTTAAAAATATTCAAAGTCTCTTTTGTACCTTTAAACGACCTAAATGTAAGATCGGATTTAATACCAATGTAAAAAACAGGGAGTAAGCTAAACCAATTTATTCAATTGACACAAAGTATTTAAAGAAATAACAAAACACGTCTTCACTAGTCGTACGCCAAAATTATTCTGCCTGCCCTTAGGTCAGAATAGTGACCCTCAGGCCTCGCAACCATTCTTCCCACTTCTCTACTCTCATATTTTACAATCTTACAAACGTCTTCCCTCACACTCGGTACATCTCTAAAACTATGCTTTATGCTAACAAGTATACTTAATATTAGACTACGCATTGGTATTGGCCTATACCCATTTCTGATACTACATAAATAAATCAGTAAAATTTTTATTTAAATAAATTCATAAATAAAAAAGTTATAAGCCTTAAAAGATCATCAAGAGACGTAGGGTTTTTGGATCATTAAGATCCCTTCGGAATTTTGTTATTTTTTAAACGCCATCTTGTAGATTCGAGCAATTAAAACCTATGTTAAAAATTTGATTCCAATCGGTCCATAAACCTTGGAGAAAATGGCTTTGAAACCTCATCAGTTTACTAGAAGAGTTGTAACACATCGTAAAAGCTTAACACGACAAATAATAGGAAGTAAACATTGACATATAGTTATTACATCACCTCTTCAAGGCATCTTTCACCAATTAACGAAACAATCAACTTCACTCCATAATTACACTCATGACGAATTTATCACCCATTAGCCGTACGTGCGCGACGTCGCCTTTAATTGTTAAATTAATACGTGCCGTTGCAATTTAGGTCAACAGCTCGTTTTCTTTCTCTCGCCGAAAATAAATCTACTACTCATTTTCGAAGAAATGTAGAATGTCCCCTCGCGATGAAATGATTCTACCAGTATTACAACACGAGATTTTTCTCCCCTCGACGATTATGAGCACAAGATGAGATCATGGCAATTGAATAGAACAAGGCGAAGCAGAAATGAACACAGCCGACACATTCTCATCAAGTTGTTGGAGTTTACACATTTTGATGTTTATCGTTATCAGCGACGGGAGCTGTGTTTTCATTATGGCTGCCATTAGTTCATCGCAGATTTCGGAGGAGGTTATCATCAATTTGATTACGAATAATGGCAGCGCGCAGTGAAATGCGAGAAATATTGTTGCGGCTAAAATAAAAGTTTTTGCTGGTGAAATTGTGTTATGGCATAAAAAGGGTTGGGTTTAAAATGGAGAATAAAGTGGTTTTTAAGATGCGCATAATGCAATAATGAATAATGTACAAACAAGGGAAAGATTAACCCTTCTTTTCATGGCAGAATTTTATGTTTAAATTGCTTTGTGTAAAAAAAAACTGATGAAGGGTTTTTAGGGAGGTAAGATCCCTTAGGAATTTTGTAAATATTTTGATGGCATATTGTAGGTTTAGGAATTTAAAATATTTGTTGTAAATTTTATCAAATTTGGATAATAAAAAATTGAGTTATACGCATTTTAAGTTTAGAAAAAAATGTAGGGTTTTCAGGGAGGTAAGATCCCTTAGGAATTTTTTGAATATTTTGATGGCATATTGTAGGTTTAGGAATTTAAAATATTTGTTGTAAATTTTATCAAAATTGGTTAATAAACAATTGAGTTATGCGCATTTTAAGTTTAGAAAAATTTGAAGGGTTTCTAGGGAGGTAAGATCCCTTTCGAAATTGGTAAATATTTCAACGGCATATTATAGTTTTAGATGTTTATAATATATGTTATAAATTTAATCAAATTTCATCGATAAACAACAGAGTTATACGCAATTCAAGTTTAGAAAAATTTCTGGGGTTTTAGGGAGATAAGATCCCATTAAATTTTTGTATATATTCAAACGTCATCTTATAGTTTTAGGTGTTTCTCATTAATGTTGAAAATTTCATAAAAATCCGTTAATAACTAACTGAGTAATGTTCACTCAAAATACGTGGAACTGTAGAATAGTAAAAGATGAAGATGGCAAACATAAAACAAGTCGAATTAGTAAATATTAATCCACCACGGCGCAGTAAACGAGTTGTTATTGCAAAATTTCTAATTGCGTTGTCAAATAAAAATGGCATCTTTGACCTCTGCGCTGATACAGCTCTCAACGGCTGAGCAACGTGTTATGCCTTAATTGTCGCTCGTTAAAATTATACGCGAATAAGAAATCCTAATCAGAAATTGCGCGCATATGCAAAACTCAATTTGGCAAATGGCCGGCGTGTACGCATATCGCTCATATTAAGGAAGTTGTTATCTCATGGATTTTAGTTTAGTCGGTTCGAAGCGTTTACGATGGCAGTGCCCGCAGAATGCAGGAGCGCGCGCGCGGTCTTGGCCCTTGGTCACGTTTGCTCACTTGCATCGCGGAAGAAGAAGACCCGAGAAGAGGCGCACGACCTCTCCGCCCGTTTCGCCGAGTGCACTCGCCGAGATTCTTTCTTGTTATCGCGTGCATGGTGTGCACTTGCATCAAACATCAAGTGCGATGCATTATGATACATCATGTGGTTACAGAAATCGATAATATATAATCATCAGCAGAAATTTTGCAAAAATATAAAAGTTTCAAGAGAAATAAAACCCGTAATGGATTTTTAAAATGTTTAAACGTATTTTGGTATATTCTGGTGTGTTTAAACCATGGTAAAAGTTTGGTTAAAATTGATTCATAAATTTCCTCAAAAAACGCTTTCTAAGTTGATTAAAATTTGTAGGGCTTTCGGGGTCATCAGACCCCAAACGATTTTTTAATTTCTTCAAACGTAATTCTTTTTCTTTAGCTCTTTAAAACTGATGGTAAAAATTTCAATTAAATCGGTCAATAAACAATTGAGTTATTCAACAATTAAAAATATACAAATATTCCCTGCTGACCATTTGTACAAACACTGATTCTAATACGATAATATCCGAAAGGAGAGGACAATGAGACGATCTCGATTGTCTTCATCTTCTTCCTCCTGATTTCGGTAACAACTAGTGCCCAACCGGAATGGGTTCCAGGGACCCAGGGCGACAGCGAAAAGGCGTTGCGTCGAATTTCGCCGATGCCATTGTACTTTCGGCTATTAGATGCGATTTATGGCGATCGCAACACGCCGAAACATGCCGTTACGTTCCGAGTTTTGCCGATTTTCCATTGGCACCAATTCAAGAAACACAAAATTAATCCATACATGGTTAGAGTCAAAACATACTGTATATTATAATAGCGTTTGGTGTAAAATTAGAAAAATTATGATTTTTGTAGTTTTATGATAATAACTCAAAAAGTATTTGAGATAGAAGAAATATTTTTTAGTAAAATCTGTTTGGAATTAAATTCTGGATAAATTAGCGTTAAAAGTGAATAAAATTAATAAATAAATAAAAAGTTATTAACAATTAAAGTAATATTTATCACAAAAAAATTAATAATCAGTATTTTTGGCTGTAATTTCAAATTTTAAACAATATTTCCTTAAATTTTACATAAAATAGATACTGAATTTAATACAGAATATATTGTTGAAAGAATTATCTCTCTATCTCATCCCGTTTTTGAGTTATTCAACTTTAAACCACAAAAACCACATTTTGTACATTTTTAGTCGTAGTTCTACACATGTCACGTAACATATGACAAAAACTAAAAGATTCCGCACGTAGGTAAACTTTTTTCCGAGATCC